AGTAGTAGTAGTAGTAGTAGTAGTAGTAGTAGTAGTAGTAGTAGTAGTAGTAGTAGTAGTAGTAGTTAGTAGTAGTAGTAGTAGTAGTATAGTAGTAGTAGTAGTAGTAGTGGTACTTAGTAGTCGTAGTCTAGTAGTAGTAGTACGTCTGCTATACTACTACTAGTACTACTACTACTACTACTACTACTACTACGACTACTACTACTACGTGGTAAGTTTACTACTACTACTACTACTACTACTTACTACTACTACTAGTCGTAGTAGCAGTAGTAGTAGTCGTAGTAGTAGTAGTAGTAGTAGTAGTAGTAGTAGTAGTAGTAGTAAGTAGTGTAGTATAGTAGTAGTAGTAGTAGTGGTAGTAGTAGTAGTAGTAGCAGTAGTAGTAGTAGTAGTAGTAGTAGTAGTGATAACAGTAGCACCAGCAAGAGGAGGAGGAGGAGGAGGAGGAGGAGGAGGAGGAGGAGTGAGGAGGTGAGCGACGAGGAGCGTGCGAGGAGCTGGAGGACAAGGAGAAGCGAGGAGGAGGAGGAGGAGGGTGAGGGCGTCCGCTGCTTGGCTCGGTATGGTCGGCTGTTGCGTCGTAGCACGCCCCTCTCGATTGTTTTCGGCCTGGCCGATGTCGGTTGGTTTCGGTGTCGTCGTCGGGCGTTTCGGTATTCGGCTCCGCTGCTTGCATGGACGTCTATCAAGTTAGAGGAGGGCGGACGTGGAGCGAGCGAGGAGGAACTGGAGCAGGAGGAGGAGAGACGAGCATGGGGAGGAGGAGATGCAAGCAAACCAGCAGCAGGATGCCGAGAAGGAGCGACATGGATGTGGAGGGAGGAGAGTGAGAGAAGAGAGGGGGTGGAAGGAGGTCTGCATTCCAGATCGGGAGGGACATGAGTTAAGAGGCGGAGTTTTCCTGATGTCATTGGGGCGGGCCCCAAACCGAAGATGTCACGATACGAGATGTAGCCTTTGATCAGCCCCCGGCTCAGCGTCCATGGTGCGTGGAAGGTCTCGTCTAAAGTTGCTCCAGTCCAAAGCCAGGCTACAGAGAGGATAATGAGCTAGGCTGCGACTGTAAAAAGATTAGAGGCTGAAGCCACACGATACCCTGGTGAGAAAGTACGTAAGGGCCTTGTGTCGTATTGGGGTCAAGCTGACTCGGCATCGGAGCCGAGATGATGCTAAGCCAAAGTTCGGCGAAAGTTTTGCTGCAATCAGCCTCACTCGTTGCCCCGGAACTCCCCCGACACCTCACCCGCTGCCTCGACGGCAGAGATCGATGGTTGTTCTGGCGATGCTTGACCAGGTCGACCGTCCGACCGAGACGCGACTGAGACCCCCATCCGCCACCCCCCCTTCCCCTTCTCCCCGTCCTCTGCCTTTGCGGTGGCCATCGCGACCGTGACCTCGGTCAGCAGCCGAAGCCGCCACAGTGGACGAAATCAAAAAAGCACGGTGCCCACGTACCGAAACAAGGAGAACGAGGAGGAAGGACTTGGCGATCGGCCGAGATCGTCGGAGGTTGGCGGCCCCCGCCCCTGGGATGTTTCCCACTTGTTGCGGTGGAGGGGGGAGAGGTGCGGGAGGGTGGGCAGGCGCTTGCCTCCTCGACAACCCCCGCAGTGGGCCGCGGGCGTCGACCCCTCCCCTTGCCCGCAGCGGGACGCGGGCGTCGCCGCAGCGGACGCCGCAAACCTGTGTGCCTAGAGCGGGCGCAACAGGAGGAAGGAGCGAGGAAGAAGGAGGAGGAGGACGACGAGGATGGCGAGGAGAACAGGGAGGATCGAGGAGGGCGGAGGACGAGGAGGAGGAGGAGGAGGAGGAGGGTCCGCTTCCCCAGGCGTGGCCCGCCAGCTCCTGGAGCGCTGCCAGCAGGCGGGTCCGCCGCAGGACCTTGGGGGCGGCGGACCAGGTCGCCGACTTGATCCCGACGTGGTGCCTCCCGACCCCCACCCCCCGTGGTGAAGAAATCACGACGGGAGGTTTTTGACAGTTTTCGGCCTCTGGACCGTGGCGTCCGCAGGTTATAGTAAAGCTCGCAGGAGGCTATGGTGTTCACAGTCTGGCTGCCCGTGCTCGTGGACTGGCGCCGCAGGCTTTTTGCGGTACCTGCAGAGTCTGGCATGCTCTTACGCACACGTGTGGGCGATGTAGAACAAAAAAAAGTCCGTCTTCACCGACATTGGCGCGCAAGTTGCCCGCGGAAGGGCGCGCGCAAGCGCCCTCACTGCCGATTCTGGGTGCCGCGCCGGCGGCCCGCGACAGCCACCGCGGCGTAAGCTCGCTGCGTCATCTTGAGTAAGACCCGTTTAATTTCGTCGCTCACGTGGCGCTCGCACACCATGTGTGGTACTGGCAGGGTTTGGCTGCCCTAGCCGCCAGGCGGTCGCGAGCACAGCGCAGTGTTCACGAGCCCCCCCTGTAGCGATCGCAGGCTGTGCCGGAGGCGCTGGCGCGGGCTGAAGCGGGCGCCCTGTGCGGCGGGCGGCGCCGCTGCCTGTCCCTGGGGGCGCGGAAATCTGGGAAGTTGGGCTTGCGGCCAAGTGTACAAATTCTTTGTTCTAGAAGTTGTCTGCAGTGGCATCCCTTTCATTTAGGGGTGTCCAGAGCTCGACGGATTCGAGGATGCCGCCGCCGCCGTCGTCATGGGCGTCCCCCTCCTCCTCCGCCTCCTTCTCCTCCTCATCCGCCTCTTCCTCCTCCCCGCCTCCTCCTCCTCCTCCTCCTCCTCCTCCTCCTCCTCCTCCTTCTCCTTCTCCTTCTCCTTCTCTTCCTCCTCCTCCCTCCCTCATCATCCTGCTCGTCTGGCCTCCTCCTCCTCCGCCTCCTCCTCCGCCTCCTCCTCCTCCGCCTCCTCATCCTTATCCTCCTCCTCCTCCTCGTCCTCCTCATCTTTCTCCTCCTTTTCCTTCTCATCCTGCTCCTCCTCCTCCTCCTCCTCCTCCTCCTCCTCCTCCTCCTCCTCCTCTCCTCTCTCCTCCTCCTCCTCCTCCTCCTCCTCCTCCTCCTCCTCCTCCCCCTCCTCCTCCTCCTCCTCCTCCCCTCTTCCCGGACAGCTGGCGCCAGGCGGGCGCCCTTGCGCCTCACGGTGCCGAGGGCTTGCTGCTGCCACTGCCGCCGCCGCCTCCTGCCCCCCCTCCTCCCCTGGCGCCTGCCCTCCTCCCACGCTGGCGTTGGCTACTCCCTCTGGGGCAAGATGCCTGCGCGAGCCGACGCCGCTTGTCAGGAGGGCTGACCCCTCGGCGTCGCCTCGAAGGGCTGGTGGCGAGCTCAAGGACCTCGGCGCACCTCACAGGTGGCCCCACCCCGTGCGATCGAACGGGGCTCGACCCGGATCCCCTGGACGAGGAGCTGCCCGCCAGCCACGGGTCGCACCTTGGTTCGCCGCCGCGCGGCTTCCGCGGGAAACATTCATCCAACGTGATGGGCACTTGTTGGGTGCTCCGCGGTGCGCGTCCATACAGGTGGGCGACCGCGTTGGTGGAAGCCGGTGCGTGGCCGCGTGCCCCGCGCGTGCCCGCGCGCGCACCAGTCGGGCGGGCCCCAAGGGGCAGTCCTCCGGAGTTCCCCTTCGGTGTGCCGCCCGCCGCCCCGCTGCGCTGGCCCGAAGGCCCTCTGGGGTAGGTGGCGCTCGCAACGATACGGACGTACCTCGAGGGGCCACCTGCACCACGCAGTCCAGGTACGCAATTTAGTCCCCTCGTCGTTCTCCCCCTCCCGTCGTTCCCACCATGCTCGTCGTCCACGTCTTCGTCGTCCTGCGTCGTCCTCATGGTCTCGCCGTCCTCGTCCTCGTCCTCGTCCTCGTCCTCGTCCTCGTCGTTTCTGGCGTCGTCTTCATTGTGATCGTCGTCGTCCTCCTCCTCCTTTCGTCCTCGCCCTCCTCGTCCTCCTGCTCCTCTTCGTTGGCCTCGTGCTCCTCCTCCTCCTCCTCCTTCTCCTCCCCCTCTTCCTCGTCATTCAACTCATTTTGCGCAGGCTACTGTAGCACTTAGAGGGTCCAGCATGTTGTTGCGCACTCATTTGGCGCTCGAAGGCTGCTGTATTGTGGTCCTGGCTGGGCCCGGCTTTCCTCGGCATTGGGTGGTCACGAACAAGCTGCGGTGCTCACAGGCGCCTTGTGGCGTTCGCAAGCTATTGAGGTGCTCACGGAAAAATTGCTGTTGTCGTAGCCTCGAATCCTATTGTTGCACCCACAGGGTCCATCATCTTGCTGCGCGTAATGGCGGTACCGCTGTGTCGCTCGCGTGTTGCGGATGTACGTACTCGCAGGTTGTTCTGCTCGCGTGCGGTGATGGTCATGGATTATGGCAGGCGTTTGGTGCCGTACACGGCGGCGCCGGAAAGGATCTCGTGGTTCTTGCAGGGCCTGCTTTCTCTCTTTCTTCGCCGCCGGGTGGTGGCGATCACGCGTGGCGCTCCCCAGAATACCGTGGTGGGCACAGGCGTTACGACCAAACCTTGCTACAAGGTTGAGGTGCGCGCGAGCATTGCGGTGGTTCAGGGGCCCCCAGGGGGGGAGGGGCGTCACGTTCTGCACCCCCGCACACCCATGACGCTTGTTGTGGCCGCGAACGGGTACCGCCCTCCAGAGGGCGAGGGCCCAGAAGGACAAATGAAAGAAAAGGAAAGGGGTCGCCTCGTCCTCCTCCTACCTTCTCCGCCTCCCTCCCTCCTCCCCCTCCTCATCCTCCTCCTGCTATTCCTCCTCGTCCTCTTCGTTCGTCCTCATCATCATCTTGTTCATTGTCCTCGTCCTCTTCCTCAGGGCAAGAGAGCGAGGGTCTTGGGAGTAGAGCCGCTGCCAGGCGCGACCAAGAAAGGTGGCTTGGATGTCGCCCACGGAGGGTCTGGGACCATTTCGACCGGCTTCTGCCACGGCTGCTCGCGCTTTTGTGCGCAAGTGGTTGGTGTGTGATTTTTACCGGCTCTTTCCCAGGGCGGGTAAAGCCACATTCGAGGGGCCCCAAGAGGTGCGGTGACCACACCGTGTGGTGAGCCCGCGGGAATTCGGAGTTATCGCACGGTCTTCGGACTCGGGTCGTCGTGGATGTCTCGGGCGACTGGGGCCTCCGAGGTCCCAGAACGGCGCGGTGGCTGACCGTGCGGCGATGTCTGCGGGGATCCCGAGGCCACCGCACGGTCTCTCACCGCACCGCTTTGGGGCCCGCAGCACGTGGGGAAAGGCTTCGTGCCTCTCTTGCTCCTCCTCGTGCCCATACAGTGCCGTCTTTTATACATGCTCCGCGTGCGGATCACGTATCAAAATGTAGGGATTTAGTATCAAGAACAACGATGAGCTCATGCGTAAACTCATTCATGAATTAATCATGTGTTAAAATCACATGTGTTTGAAAATCCTATGTATGAAAAGCTGCCCGGTATACTGCTGCACCTGCGACGCTGGGGCCGCGTGTCGGCTCCCGGGCCCCGGACCACGGACCGCCAGGGCAGTGTCGAAGACTTCCGTGGCAGGGTGGGGCAGAGGCACGACGGTCCACGGACCACCAGCTCCTCCTCCTCCTCCTCCTCCCCTCCCCCTCCTCCTCCTCCTCCTCCTCCTCCTCCTCCTCCTCCTCCTCCTCCTCCTCCTCCTCCTCCTCCTCCTCACCACGGCAGAAGCGCCGAGCTCAAGACGGCACGAGAGGGGACTCGGCATCGCTCGGGCGTGTGCATGCTTTCTCGGCGAGAACCATCGAGGACCATCCTGGACCATCGAGCAAAAAAACGACACGCACGAAGCCGAAAAAATGCAAGGGAAATGGACGTCCGAGCGACGGCAAGGGGACGGCGGCGAGGCACGACCTGATCGCAGGCCACGGGCCACAAGTTTTAGCCGAGGCCCCCTGACTCGAAGTGGCACCCCACGTGACGGAGCGCGAGCCACGGAGCACTGAATCTGTCTTGGCATGCTACAGGAGACTGCACCGAAAGGCATGACTGACCACGGGCGGCGGACACCCTCGAGGCAGTGCTTCAGATTATGCAGCAGCGTGACCCTAGGGAGGGCCCCGAGGCACGCCCGACCACTGGCCGTGGGCTACCACGTCAGAGCCCGAGGAGCCTCCAAAGGGAAGGGCACGACGCACGACGGATCGACCTCTGCGGACCAACTTCCCATTCTGAGATTCCGCGACGGAGCGCGTCGCAAAGCACGATGGACAACGCGTGGCGGACAAGCAGATCCGTGCTCGAAACCGCGCGACAGGGAAAGGGAGCATTACAGTAGATCATGTGGCGCTGGATGTTTTGAGGGCACGATGCAGCGTAATGCCATGAATGGCCATATCTTGTAACATGGCATGATGCGACGCACTGTAATGCGATTGGCGCAGCGTGACGAGACCGTCATGGGATGTGGACAGCAGGTTCGTTTCTTCAGTCCCCCCTGCCACACCCTGTGCTAGTTGTTGGGGGATGTTCCGATATTCGTTGACGCGCCTAGGGGGGAAGTGAGAGGGGGCAGGCCTTGTCAGAAGGCTGTGGGGCTTCTCAAATGCCCTCGCGCCTTCTGGGAATCCGCCTGCGTCTGCGGAGAGGTCTCAGAAGAGTTCTCTGAAGGCTGGAGGCCTTCCGAGCCTCTTGGGGAGCCCCGCACCCTGGGCCTTCTCCTCCCGGGCCCGCCGCCGAGATATGCATCCTCTCGTGTGATGGCCCCCCCGGGGACATGCGGGAGGAGGACCTTGCCGACGGTGCTGGAGGAGTCTCTGGACGAGGCTGCCGACGCCGGCGTGGAGAGGCTGCGGCAGGCCACTGCCGCTGCGCTCCGCGGCCCCGCCGAGGGCTGCCCAGCGCGGCTCTCCACGGCGAGACGCGAGGAGCCCTCGGGCTCAAGGGAGGAAGGGGGGGGGGGGCACGCGAGAGGGGAGGGGAGGGGGGGGGGGAGGAGTGGAGGGGAGGGAAAGGTAGGGAAGGGCGGTTTCGACCAGGCGCCCGCGCGTTTCTTGTTTTCGACTGCTGGCCGTGCGCTGCGTCCCCTGCTGCGGGGCACGCTCATGATCGCAGAAGGTATCGCAGAAGGAAGGCAAGAAAAGGGGAGGGAAGGAGGCTGGGGGCTACGGGAGGCGAGGGAGAGCGAAGGAGTTAAGCTAAAGCAGGGCAGTGGAGACGGCAGCCTCTCACGGATGCTTTGTGTGATCCAGGCGTCCGAGACCGATGATCAGACAAGGGACCCCCAGGGAATTATAGTTACAAAGTTTTCGAGGGGGACGCCAGGGCGTAACAGTCTGCAAAGAAAGTGTCAGAAGTCACGCTCGGGGGGGCTCGCCGATGGTTTTGGGGGAAAAATATACTCAGCCAGTTTTGGTTTGGCGAGAGACTCCTTTGCGAAGACGCCGGCTTGAGATTCTGCGCTTGGCTCCCGCACGGGTTGCCTTATGTGGATTTCCGAGACCGAGATCGGTTTGGCGACTACCCATGCGCAAAACATTGGTCTGAGATTCGGCGCCAGATTCTGCGCAAGTTCCCAGACATGGTGTCAGCAGGCACGGGTGGGGAAGCCATTTCCTCGCGCGCTGGTAGTCAGAACGACATGAGCACACAAAGAAACCCCTTGGAATCAGACCGTACAATCATTATGTGAATGGTGGCTTTTTTGTTCATCGCTGAGCGTACAACTGACTCTCAGTAGGTAGTAGGTGGTATGAAGGTGGACAGCAGCACGCAGGCAGCGCGCGGGCGACATGCAGGCGGCATGCATTCAGCTGGTTTGGAGCCCAGCCGGCGGCAAGTAGAAAATCGTTGGCGGTGTGTTGCTAGTTCGACCCAAAGTTTTCAATTTAGCTGCCGGCGGCAAGCCCCGCAACCGTGCCAGCCCAGCTTTATTGGTGGAGACTGTTCTAGCGGACACGGGAGGCCGTCACGTGTGACACCTCGTTTCTCCAGGCTTGGGAGAACCATGATGTGAATGATGATGATGAGGATGATGTGATGATGATGATGGTGGTGATGATTTGCGACGACGACGACGACGACGACGATAACGACGACGACGACGACGACGACGATAATGACGACGACGTTGATTACGATTATGATGATGACGATGGTGATGGTGCTGATGATGATGGTGATGAGAAGTGTGGTAATGGCAATGGTGATGATGATGAAGATGATGATGATGATGTGATGATGATGATGATGATGACGGTGATGATGATGATGATGATGCTGATGATGATGGTGATGGTGGTGGTGATGGTGATGGTGATGGTGATGGTGATGGTGATGGCGGTGGTGATGGTGATGGTGGCGATGATGGTGATGGTGGCGATGATGGTGATGGTGATCGTGACCGTGATGGTGATGGTGATGGTGATGGTGATGGTGATGGTGATGGTGATGGTGATAGTGATGGTGATGGTGATGGTGATGATCATCGTGGTGGTGGTGATGATCATGATGGTGGTGGCGGTGATGATGATGATGATAATGATGATGATGATGATGATGATGATGATCATCATCATCATCATCATCATCATCATCATCATCATTTGGGCCGTCTTGAGGCTGTCTTGGCCTCTTGTGAAGCAGTCCAGTCTTTGAGTTTCCTCGGGGCAGTCTTGGGGCCCTCTTACGCCGGCTTGGGGCTCTCTTGGGCCGCTTTGGAACCCTTTTGGCCGTAAGGTGGGTGTTCGGGGGCCGTCGTGGGGCCGTATTGGCACCGTCTTGGGCCACCCGTTTTGTCGCGGTGGACCGCTATGCGGGTGAACCCACAGGGCGCCACGGGAAAATGACCCTCCCGCTCCCTGCCTCGCTTCGGTTGCGTTCACCACGGGAGAATCTAGTTTTGCTGGGGCATGGCCAGTAATTTTCTGGAATTCTCACAATATGTCGCCCGCTCCTCTCTCCTCCCCCTCGCTTGTCCCTTGCCGAAACCATCTGGGCCCGAGCGATGGCTACACGCTTGTTCCTCCCTCCCACCCTGCTCTCTCTCCCGCCCTTACCTGGGCGGGCGGCGGACCGCTACGCGGCTGAACCCACATGGCGCCCCGGGAAAATGATCCTCCCGCCCCTCACCCTCGCATCGGGTGAGTTCACCGCAGGAGAATATGATTGTGGTATTGTGGTTTCTTCGGGCCCTGTTGGAGGTCATCTTGTGGCCATGATGGGCCGTCTTAGGGACAATGTTATTCCGTCTTGAATCAGTCGGTTGCCTTGAGGCCATCTCGGGCCGTCTTCAAGGCAGATTGAGCCATTTTGGTCTCTTCGGCTGCTTGCACGCGCGGTCTAGGAAGCTCAGTACGCAGATCCTTTCTTTTACGAGGAACCGGTGCCTGGGAGGTCCTGGAGCGCTTGGGAGCGCGTGAGAATGCGGGAAGTGCACGGTCTTCGAGCGGGTGGGCATGGCATGAGGGGCTTGGGAGCTAGCAGCCATGTGGGAAGTGTACAATCCTCGAGTGGGCGCGCGTGAAATGAGGCTTCAGGCAGCAGCTGCCACGCGGGAAGCGCACCATCCTGGAGCGGGCACGCGTGAAATGGGGGCTCCGACATCAGCTACCATGTTGGAACGCGGGCAAGCGTCCTCGAGCGGGCAAGCGTGGAACGCGGGTTTACGCATCAGCTGGCATGGTGGGAGTGCACTATCCTCGAGCGGGCACGTGTGGACGTGGAGATTGGGCATTCGCTGCCATGCGGGAAGTGCACTATCCTCGAGCGGGCACGAGGGAAATGGTGCCGGTAAGTAGGGGGACGTACGCAACAGTCCGCGACTAGAGGGAGGGGTGGTTCCGATTTGAATTTGATGGTTCCCTCCCCCATCCTTACTCCTGCTTGTCTGAGCTGTGCATTGGAGCTTGCGTTTTTCCATCGCGCCCTTCATGGGCCCGCCCTCGTTCGAGCGGGGTGAATGAATGAATGAATTTTAATTTTCTGTTTTAGATCATATAAAAAAGGTATAACGTTTTTTCTTCCACACCTCAACATGCCAGGGATTTTACGGTGGCGGATGCGCTGTAAAGATTGACACGTGACGCCAGCAATGTCGTTGAAGTGGAATGTGTTTGCAATGTTACAAACCACATGAGGGCCAAAGCGCTATTGATTATTGCCTTTCCCGCGTCTTGATCTTCATTCGCTATCATGTGGCTTCCCCGCCAATTTTCACATGTTAGCCATCGTGGACCTCAAACAGACATTTCTTGGAGCATATGCGATGCAATCTAGGTGGTGCAATCAACGCGGTGCAATTCAGGTGGTGCACCATGGGGCGCAAGCAAGGCACTGGAAGTAAATGCACAGCCTTGCAAACTCTGCAGAACAACGCAACGCAAGTCAGTGCAAAACAACGCAAAGCAATGCAAAGCACGGAATAGCAATGCAAAGCAACGCAAAGCAGCGCAAAGCTTTCAACGCAAAGCAGCGCAAAGCTTTGCAACGCAATGCGATTGCAAAGCAGTCCGATTGCAATGCAATGACACTGGGCAATGCAATATGACGCAAGGCAGTCAACACAAATTAGAGCAGTGCAGAGCAATGCCGAGCAAAGCAGCGCAAAGCAGCACAGTGCAACACAGAGCACTGCAGAGCGATGGACGTGAATGTGAGGTCAGCAGCACAACGACAGCAACGCAAATCAATGGAACGCGATGCAGCTCAAAATACCACAGAGCAACGCAAAGCAACGCCGGCCGAGGCGACGGCGGGGTGGCGACGCGACCCCATAGCCGCTGGAGCGACGGGGGCAGGCGCGGAGCCACGGGCGGCACCGGCCACTGCATGGCCGCCAGATCGCCAGGCAGGCCCAGAAGAGGGCCCTCCTCCCCCTCCTCCTCCTCCTCCTCCTCCTCCTCCTCCTCCTCCTCCTCCTCCTCCTCCTCCTCCTCCTCCTCCTCCTCCTCCTCCGCCTGCTACGGGGCGGCGACGGCGACCACACAGCCGCCAGACCGGCGGGCAGTCCCAGTTCTTGATGAAAGACTTAAGAGCTCCTAAGTGCAAGCACTGTTTCAGGCATACGGCATTCTATGGTTGACGGCCTTGCCTTTTCTTCCTTCTGGTTTCGTTCATCGCCCCGCTGGCGCTACCAATCGATATGGAATCTAGTGCCCAAACTGTCCCAGCATTGCCGTCACGCCCGCTTCTATTTGCATCCGGTTTTCCTTGCCTTGGCTTCGCCTCCCTCTCTCTCTCTCTCTCTCTCTCTCTCTCTCTCTCTCTTTTGTTCCGCCTTCTTTGCCATCTCTGTATTGCCCCCCACCTCTTTCTCTACCTCTGTCCACTCGGCGGTGCGCCGAGGGGGGAATGCGAGGGGGCAGGCCCTCTCGTGAGGCGGTGGGGCTTCTCGGCAGCCCTCCAGCCTTTCGGTGCGCCCCCCATGCGGTTTCGAGCAAGGCTCGGGAGATGGTTTTCTTGACTGAAATCGAGCTAAAGATGAGCTACAGAGCTGTTTGTCGCATCAATCGGAAGGAAATCATTAGAAGCACTAGTCTAAAGTATCTAGATGCCCGAACTCGGTCTGCTACCAGGGCTGGGTTCGAAAAACTATTCCTACTCTGCTTGTCTCTTAGTTCTCCGAAGGCTGGAGGCCCTCTGCGAAGGCCCCGCCCCCTCTGCCGTCCCCCCCCCCCTGGGGCGCCCCGCCGATGCAGCCCCTGCGCCTCGCCCAGGACGCCACGGCCGAGCACGGCCGCCGGGGCCCTCCCGGGCCCTGCGCGCCGGGGGCACGGCCGAGGGGGGCATCGCCCGCGACCGCGCCAGAGCGCGGGGGTGCCCCAGGCCTGCGCAGGGGCATCGGCTCACGGAGTGTCCGAGGAGGGGGTTTGCTTTGCGCGGCCCACCTGGCTCGTAACCGGATGAGGTGCGCTCTCGCCCCGCCGACCAGAATTAGCTTGGCGGAAGACCCAACCATATTCAGTTGTAGGTACCGCGATCGCGTGTGTAATCGTCGGTGGGGTACAGGGGGGGGGACGCGAGATGTGTAAGGGTGTCTCCATGTATGGGTGACGAGGCGGCGCCTGCTTTGCAGTACGCCATGCAGGGCTCCGCAGCTCCGCAGGTCGCTCCACCCAGGTGGAGTTCCCTGTGGGGCCGAGAAACGCTGTCCTGGGTGGGGGAGACGCATGCGAACACCACCACTGGGGCCTCAAAATGAGCTCCCGATGGGGCCACGAAACGCTGTCCTGGGCACGGGAGACGCAAGTGGACACCGTCACTGGGGCCTTCGGTGGAGCTCCCAATGGGGCCACGAAACGCTGTCCTGGGCGTGGGGGACGCATGCGGGCACCCCCACTGCGGCCTTCGGTGGAGCTCCCTATGGGGCCCCGAAACGCTGTCCTGGGCGTGGGGGACGCATGCGGGCACCCCCACTAGGGCCTTCGGTGGAGCTCCCTATGGGGCCACGAAACGCTGTCCTGGGCGTGGGGGACGCACGCGGGCACCCCACTGGAGCCACGAAACGCTGTCCTGGGCGTGGGGGACGCATGCGGGCACCCCCACCTTCGGTGGAGCTCCCTATGGGGCCACGAAACGCTGTCCTGGGCGTGGGGGACGCATGCGGGCACCCCCACTGGGGCCTTCGGTGGAGCTCCCTATAGGGCCACGAAACGCTGTGCTGGGCGTGGGGGACGCATGCGGGCACCCCCACTAGGGCCTTCGGTGGAGCTCCCTATGAGGCTACGAAACGTGTGAGGGGTGTGCCGAGAGCAGAGGAATGAGGGGGAGGAGGGAGGAGGGGGAGGGAGAAGCGGGAGGAGGAAGGAACGCGGGGCGCTGTCTCTTCAAAACGAGGACCCAGCACCATAGGATGGTTGGGAAAAAGTCCAAGGAGGGGGCAGGAGCGCAGGAGATGGGACGGGACCACCAGGGGGAGTTTCGGGCTCGAGGTGCGAGGTTTTCAAGCGGTGTTGCCGGTTCTCGGCGGCTTCCTGGCGTCGGGATGCGCTGCGGCAGCTGCGCCTCGCCGGGGGCGTGCTGGGGGTGCTCAGATCGCCCCGAACGGCCGCTGGAGAGCCGAGTTATGACCTGGAAACCAGACGACGAAGATCTCTAGGACGGGGTAGCTTGGATGTTCGGTGGTGGGGCACACCTAGGTCGTGGGGTCGCAAGTCTACGCTGCTACAGCTTTGAGTTTTGTTCCTGGTGCTAGCCTAGCCATGAATGCACGAAGCGATGACGTATGTATCCTGTACATGTGGCTTCCCTTTGACAGGTATGCAGGGATAGATCGATGGAGAAATTTCTTATGCTTCAGAGAATGACAGGACGTCGGGGAGGTGGCCGCGAGAAAGACGAGGAGCGTGAGCTCGCCAATCGCCACTGATACAGCACGAGACTGTTGTCGCAGACACGAGTCAACATTGCTGAAGAACGATGTGCCAGTCATTTGGGGCAGACAGTCAACGCAACGCTCCAAGCTCACCGCCTTGAGTGAAAGAGTGAAGGGGGAGACCTTGCGGGCGCTTGTTTTTCAATGGATTGGAGGCTCCGCGCCACGCAGGAAGGACAATGCCACGCAGGTGAAATGCATTGCATGAAAAAGGATACGTGCAGAAGTCAAGCCCGAGGCCTTGCACCTTGCACGACAACGAGTTTGTGTTGATATCCTCAGCGAGCTCCAGGTGGCCAATTGAACGGGCTCGGCATTAGGCTGTACTCGAACAATGTTGGCAGGTGCATGTAGGCCAGGTTGCTTCCACAGTTGTGCGCAATCGACGGCCCCGCAGGCTAGAGTGGCAGGGGACCCCTTTACGCTAGAAAAGTATAGCGTCTCTTCACCTCGGGTATGTCAGCCAATCAACTGCATCTGATCTTCGGTACGGCTAGTATCAGAATGAGCGCAGTGAAATCCGAATGTGGTTGATTGTTGTTGGCACGAGTGTTCTACGTATCAGCAAGTATCACATGGCTTACGGCATTTTCTTCTTGCACCATTTGTCATGATGTGTGTTTCCCCTCCCCTCCTTGCCACAATCCTCTCTCCTCTGTAACCCCTCCCTCCGCCTCATCGTCATCCTCAACTCTGCCCATCCTGTTCCCTCATCCAGCATCCTGCTGGTCCTCCCGTCTCCCTCGCTCCTTCCCCATTATCCCTCCCTCATTCTGCTCCTTTCCCTTCTGTGTCGCGAGCATCCTGTGGTGTTGGGTCCTCGTTTTGAAGAGAGAGCGCCCCGCGTTCCTCACTCCTTCCTCCTCCCCGTTTTCCCTCCCCCTCCTCCCTCCTCCCCCTCCTCCCTGCGTTTCACCCATCCTTTCGTGGCCCCATAGGGAGCCCCACCGAAGCCCCTAGTGTGACCGTCCGCATGCGCCCCGAACACCCAACTTGGCAGTTTTACCCACCCAGTACAGCCCCACAGGGAGCTCCACCGAAGGCCCCAGTGCCACCGTCCGCATGCGTCCCAAAAAACCAAATGTGGCATTTGTACCCACCCCGTACAGAGCTTCGTGGCCCCATAGGGAACTCCACCGAAGCCCCAAGGGGGACCGTCGAAATGTGCCGCGAAACACCAAATTCGGAATTTCCACATACGCAGCACAACGCTTCGTGGCCCCATCGGGAGCTCCACCGAAGGCCCCAGTGCCACCGTCCGCATGCGCCCCGAAACCCCAATGTGGCATTTTCACGCACCTTGTACAGCGCGTCGTGGCCCCATGGGGAGCTCCACCGAAGCCCCCAGTGGGACCGCCCGCAGGCGTCCCAAAACACCAAATTTGGCATTTGCACTCAACCAGTACAGCGTTTCGTGGCATAGGGAGCTCCACCGACGCCCCCAGTGGGACCGTCCGCATGCGTCCCACCCACCCAATGTTGCATATTCGCCCACCCAGTACAGCGCTTCGTGGCCCCATAGGGAGCCCCACCGAAACCCCCAGCGGGACCGCCCGCATGCGTCCCAGACACCCAACGTGGCGCTTCCATCCACCCATTGCAGCGCTTCGTGGCCCAAGTGGGAGCCCCACCGACGCCCCCAGTGGGACCGCTTGCATGCGCCCCACACACCGACTTGAGCATTGTCACCCACCCAATGTAACGCTTCGTGGCCCCATTGGGAGTTCCACCGAAGCCCCCACACGGACCGCCCGCATGCGTGACACGCCCAATTTGGCATTTTCACACCCAGTACAGCGCTTCGTGGCCCCATAGGGAGCACCGGAACCCCCACTGGGACCGCCCGCATGCGTCCCAGACACCCAATTTGGCATCTTCACCCGCCCAGTACAGCGCTCCGTGGCCCCATTGGGAGCTCCACCGCAGCCCCCAGTGGGACCGCCCGCATGCGTCCCACACACCCAATTTGGCATTCTCACCGACCCAGTACACCGCTTGGTGGCCCCATAGGCAGCTCCACCGACGGCCCCAGTGCTACCGCCCGCATACGTCCCCCCCCCACCCAGTGCAGCGCTTCGTGGCCCCATAGGGAGCTCCACCGAAGGCCCTGGTGCTACCGCCCGCACGCGTCCCCCCCACCCAGCACATCGCTTCGTGGCCCCGTAGGGACTCCACCGACGGCCCCAGCGGTACCGCCCGCATGCGCTCCCCCCCACCCAGTGCAGCTTTTCGTGGCCCCACAGGGAGCTTCACCGAAGAAGATATTCACAATTGCGCTACCCATAGCTGCATATGGTTGGGTCCCTCGCCAGGATAATTTGGTCGGCCATTGGTACCCTATGGTGCATGCCTCCCCTGTGGTGCTCTAGGGCTGGTGCTCCACGAATGGCATCTCATGGCTGATGCTCCACGGTGCCGTATGGTTGATGCCCTGCGGTTGGCACATAGCGTGCACATCGGGAGCAGTACAAGAAGCATTTGCTTGGAACCCAAGCGCTGGCATCATTATCCTTTTCCGCCTCCCCCATACTTCTTCTTACGACTGAGAAGGTGCCCAGACCTTCAGAGGCAACCGGACGACCGCACCACATCCGCCCCAGTTAAAAGTTTGGCGCCCTCTCGTGCGAATACGTTCATAAAGAAGCGTCGGTTTCTGTTCATGCACATCCGGATATCTAATGGACGAAAGGTTCAATGATTTCACCACGTTGTCCCCGTGCTAATGGATAACGACACAACAATATGACGACTTAGTCGAATTTCCGTCCGTCCAGAGCAATTGCAAGATGCCCGCGTCACCCAACAAGCATGGGACAACAAAGCATAAATCAGAATATGTGTTGACCGTGGGCTTCAGAAATATGCAGTGACGGCTGGCGAATAAAACGATAATTTCTATATTTGTCCTTGCCGCTCAAGTAGGATGGTCGTGACAACCCGATTCACGCAGGGCTATACATGCAGAAGTGATGGAAGTTATTCATTGCTTTCGTTTGCCAAGCAGGATGCAGACACAGGGCGTGCCAATTGCCAGTGGAAGGAGTGTTGATGTCCGAAGTTGCACGCGTTGAATCTGCAGAGAAAAAACATTCGTCAGCGAGCATGTTCGGCAAGCATTATACATGTGTTACGTTTATGAGCCCAACGATTGCCATGCAGTTTGGCGCACGAACTCTACAATCATGACAGGAGAGCGCACGAATTGTGAACGAATTATGTTGAGTAAGATCCCCGCCCACTTCACTATACGCGGCAGCGGCGCCAAACATGTGTACGTTACGGCCCCATCGCATTACAGTTCAAGATGAAACAAACGCATGTTAGATTGATTTCCGAATGTGTGCGTTGGGGCTCGGGGTGAGGTGTGCGTGCGTGCGCACATGCAACGGGAAGGGGCCTCACGCAATATTTAAAAAAAGATCTGTCGCGCTCCAGTTATGAATTATATTGGCGAAGGACCCAACCATATGCAGTTGTGGGTACCGCAATTGTGAAGATCTTCTTCGGTGAAGTTTCCTACGGGGCCACGAAACGCTGCACTGGGTGGGAGGGAACGCATGCGGGCGGTAGCACTGGGGCCGTCGGTGGAGCTCCTTATGGGGTCACAAAACGCTGTACTGGGTGGGTGAAAACGCCTAATTGCTGACGCTTCGTTCGCGAATTCCACGAATTCGTGAAAACGCCAAATTGTTGACGGGGATCAGGTGCGTGGAGGGCGGTCACTGGCAGCAGGCCCGTCGCTGCCCTTCAAAACGCGGCCTGCGGAAGGGATTTTGTCTGTGTGCGACGTGTCTCTACTTCTGTCTCGTGCAGAACTTCTACTTTTTCATCTTGGCTGTTGTCTACGTGCTGCGTGTGTGGCTATACCGTCGACTTCAGTATTTGTCTCCTCTGTCTGCGTGCTGCGCGTGTGGCTTTACCGTGGACAGTCTGGTATCCTACTTTGAGATCCACCTTCTCTGTTGACTACGAGTTGTACACCGTACTCATCAGCGCGATTGGGGGTCTCATTCTCTTTTTGTCTTCGTTCTGACGAGCTGTTGTCGGACGTGCCGCGCCTCTCCTTGAGAACGCACTGCAGTGTGAACGGACTGCGTGTCCCGCGGGTTCTCCTGTGGCCTGCATCCTGGCGCCACGCTCCCTGGGGGGCCGCCGCTGGTCCCGGGTCTGCCCTCTGTGGCTCTGGTTTTCTTGCATCCCGTTTCTGTCGGTCAGCGGTGGCGGTGGCACCACCCTCTCCAGCGTGGTCCACATGTGCCGGCGCACTGCCGGGATGTCCCTGCAGCTTTCCACCCCCCACCGTGTACCTGTGTCCAGCACCTTTTGGCTGCGCCCCCCCCTGCAGGTGGCCGAGGAGGAGCAACAATGGGCCGTTGGACACGAGGTACAGTGCAGAAGTGTGGACTCAGCGACTGCAGTGTGAACGGACTGCGTGTCCCGCGGGTTCTCCTGTGGCCTGCATCCTGGCGCCGGGTTCCGTGGGGGGCCGCCGCTGGTCCCGGGTCCGCCCTCTGTGGCTCTGGTTCTCTTGCATCCCGTTTTTGTCGGTCAACGGTGGCGGCGGCACCACCCTCTCCAGCGTGGTCCACATGTGCTGGCGCACTGCCGGGATGTCCCTGCAGCTTTCCACCCCCCACCGCGTACTTGTGTTCAGCGGCTTTTGGCTGCGCCCCCCCCATGCAGGAGGCCGAGGTGCAGTGCAGAAGTGTGGACTCAGCGGCTGCAGTGGGAACGGACTGCGTGTCCCGGGTCCGCCCCCTGTGGCTTTGGTATTCTTGCATCCCGTTTCTGTCGGTCAGCGGTGGCGGTGGCGCCACCTTCACCAGCGTGGTCCACATGTGCCAGCGCACTGCCGGGATCCCCGTCCTTATCCCAGTTCCGTTTTCGCCTCCCTCCTCCCCCCGCAAGGGGTCAGGCCGTGAGTGCGAAGCTCCAGCAGCAGCTTCCACCCAGCCCCCAGAGGCCGAGATCGGGGCTCCCGCAGGGAACCAAGAGGCGTCCGTGGACGTGGTATCTGGAGAGAGTCAGCACGTGTCCATGGAAGCGGACGGCGCTGGCCACCCACCAAGGGGGCAGGCAACCAGACCCCCCCTTGCAGCGACGGGTGCCTCACCTCGGAGACCGCTAGGCGACGACGGAAGAGCGGGCTCCGAGCAGACAGCATTGTTCCAGAGGGCCGTCCTTCCCTCCTCCTCCTTCAATACATCGGTGACTGCGGCTTTTGGCTGCGCCCCCCAGATCCCTCCTCCTCCTCCTCTTGACCAGGATCAGTGTTCTGCGGCTTTCGGCTGCGCCACCTGTTCTTCCCCCCTCTCTTCCTCTCATTCACAACGTCTCTGCGGCTTTCGGTTGCGCCCCCCCCCCCGATCAACAGCGTAGATTGCATCGGACGCAGAAGAGCGTCCGCCCTGCTACCTGCCCAGGGAGTATATGTCCCTCGTCGCCGACCCAGCCATGGTTATATTAAGTACGCCTTGGCACGTCAGCACGCAGCCAGCGAACGGTACAGCCCAGCAGCTCGGCAGATGACAGCCACCCGTATGCCCTGGCGTCGGAGGCATCCGGCTTCTGTATGGGCAGCGTGGCAGGTGTTGAGTGGGTGTGCCTGTCCTCCATACACACGGTGATTGGCTTCGTCAGTGAGCGGCCCCGCATCGAGTGGTACAGCCTTCCGCGGTCCACGTTCGTTTCGCTCTTCTCGACGCAGCCACAGCCCCAGCCCTCGCCGGGACATTGCATCGCTGTGCCCCCGAAGTCCGTGAGTCGGATACGACCCGCTGTCAGCACGCCGCCTGCGAGCGGTACGGCCCAGCAGCTCGGTAGCCGGTCGCCACCAGCGTCGGGGCATTCGGCTTCCACACGGGCAGCGTGGCAGGTGTGGTTGGGTGCAGTTGTCAGCAATACACTCGGTGACACCCGGTGTTTGGCTTCGTCAAGTGAGCGGCCCTGCATTGAGTGGTTCAGCCTTCTGCAGTTCGTGGTCGCTCTTTTCAGAGCAGCCCCGGCTACCAGCCCTCGTCAGTACTTTGCGTCGTTGTGCCCCCGAATTGCGTGAGTCGGATACGATGTGCACGCACGGGCTACCGGCTGGAGGTGGCTCAGCCTCGCAAACGCACACCAGTGGTCTTTCTATATGGATGGCGCTTTGACGTGGAACAGCCACACCTTTGCAAGTGAGCGGCCCTGCATTGAGACGTTCAGCCTTCTGCAGTTCGTGGTCGCTCTCTTCAGAGCAGCCCCGGCTACCAGCCCTCGTCAGTACTGTGCATCGTTGTGCCCCCGAACTGCGTGAGTCGGAGACGATGTGCTCGCACTGGCTACCGGCTGGAGGTGGCTCAGCCTCGCGAACGCACACCAGTGGTTTTTCTCTACTGAATGGCGCTCTGACGCGGTTCAGCCACACCTTAGCTCCAGTGAGCTTTGATGAGTCAGGCCTCTTTCGCCGCACCATCTTTCACCCGGGGTGCTGCGGTGAGTCTGAGTTAGTCGCTCGCGCTCGCACTCTCCCCCCTCTCTTTTCTGAGGTCTAGGCCTGTCACTGGGTGCACGCTCGTGGGCTTCGCTTGGTCATTGGCCATTTGGATCCGCGCATGCGGCTTTACAGTGCCTCGCCGTCTCTCTTGGCCTCGCTTCCGACTGTGGTTCGGCTGGAGTTTGGCGCCGCAAGGGCGACTTCTCCCCCCTGTTCCGCTGCCGGTCGCCGCGCCTTTGCTTCCCCACCTACCGGGATGTCTGGGCCGGTCACCTGCCGACGCTGTCTTGCGTCTCAATGAGGGGCATTTTGTCCCTGGCACGTGCATACGCCACTGCGGCCAATTTTCTTCGCACCGCGCCCCGGACGTTGACCCGTTCCATGTCCCTCGCCTTGGAGCCGCGAACCAAAAAGAATCCCCACCAGCACGGTACTCCCCAAGAGGGGACGACCGCGACTCAGACAAGCGCGCCCGCTGGTGGGCTAAGAGTGACTCCAACACACAAGGCTGACGTGCTCCCGACGCGGCCTACCTCAACGTCCTTGGTAGCGACCTGCCCAAGGAAACCCGCTCCCCCCACCTCCAGCCACCCGCTGCCCCGAAGGAGCTCGTTTCACTTCGCTGCGCCCGGCTCAGGCCGCAATACCCGGGGCCACCCTCCGCTGGGGCGAAGGCTACCCCCACATCTCACCCACGGCGCAGCTTAGCTAGACAGCCCACGCTGGATAAGTGGACCACAATCTTCCTTTTCGGGCCTGACGCGGTGGGACTCCCCCACCAGCACCCGACATCTCACCCTCTCTGGCACGGCGGGGCCAGCCTGGCTCGCGCAGGCAGGCCTCCCGGGCTCATAGACTTTGCTGTCCGACGACGACAGCCGGCCCGCGTGCCAGGGGCCGGAGGCGGGCCACAGCATCCCCCCCCCCCGCTTGCCTGGCGGCGAGCTCGACCTAGCCAGGTCACAGTTTTGTCACACTACAGATTTCTGCGGCGGTTAGCTGCGACCCTGGAGGACCAACACCCACCATCCCCGTAGAGGTGCCAGTCTCCGCGTTGGCAGACCAGCATTCAGCATGGCAGGTGGTCCACTCTGGACCGCACCATCACACGGCATCAACACCGTTCGAAGGACTCATCAGTCGATATTCTTTGCTTTTGAGCGGCGGCTAGCTGCGACCCTGGAGGACCCACGAGAATGGCCATGTCCCCTGACCCACGGGTCCGGGGCCCTGTCGGGGGGCGTGGAGGTGCTTCCCAACGCCTCTCCCCTCTCGGGCCAGGCAGGTGTCCCCCGCCCTTGGCCCCGGGGCTCGCCACGCGTGCCGACAGACACCGTTGATTTTGTCCCCCCTCCCCAGGGCCGCCCTTGTCCCTCGCTGTTTGTGGTGAAGCTCCCCACCTCAGCGGCGGTTAGCTGCGACCCTGGAGGCCCACGGAGTGCGTGATGGAGGGCGTCCCCGGGTCTTGCGGGGAAGTGCGGAAGCGGCGGGCAGGGTCGGGCCATGGTGACCGTCGGCTCTCGTGCCTGCTTCAGCGCAGCATCCCCCAGGTCGCCCCACCCAATGGCAACGTTGCACAGTTGCTTGGACACGCGCCACACATGCTCTGGGAGGTACAGCCACTCTGTATACTGGAGGATAAGCTTGTCCCTCGTTCCTTTTGGCGTACTTCAGGCGGCAGCACCACCACCAGTGCAGCACCCCTCTGGACTCCCTTGCCTCGCTGGCGATGCTCACCACGCCTGCCTGGCCTTCTCCTCTCACCCTGGGCCCGGCGCCGTGCCGCTGCGCACGGGCTTGGCTCGCAGTCGTCCGGCCTCCTCCATGCACTGCCTGGTGGACTGGCGGGTGTTGAGATCGCCACGGAGTGGTTCAGCCCTTCGCAGCAGCTGCAGCACCCCAGGCTCATCTACCCGCTTCCGGCAGGTTGCGTCGCACCACGTTCCGCGACAGCTTAGCCCCCTTTTGGCTAGCACACGAAGTTGGGACGGTTGGAGCCTGGCGCCCCACTGGCGACTCGCTCCTCGGGCTTCGTGCCTGCCCCCATTCAGAATGACGAACACGGCTGCTCAGGCATACGTCTTGTCACTGTGTGGGTCGTGCCTCACGGCAGGCATCGAATTCCTCGACATTTTGTCCACTGCATGTGCTCGAGCTTCCCAGGATGGCCCCCGCCGTCAGCTCCCCCACAGCCTCGCGGCTGCTTTGTGAGCGGGCCGGCTGGCTAGTGCGCCTCTTGTAGCTAATCAGGCTTGCCCGTTGGCCCGGACACCCTGCTCGCCGCCTGCTTCTTCGCTTGCGGCCGCGACCGGAAAAAATCCCCACCAGCCCGTCCAGAAACGATGCCCAGAGGAATTGCCTCGATCAGGGAAGTGGGCAGCACGCAGAGGAAGCCATTACGAGACGTATGGGTATATCTTGAGCCATTTGGGAGGTCATCTTGGGCTCTCCCAGGCGCTCTTGGAGTCATCTTACTCAGTGCCGCTCTGAAAGAGGCAAACATGTGGCTAAAACCTTCGTACAATCAATGATTGGGCATTTTCGCCGAGGCCTCTTGGAGTATCTTGGCTGTCTCCGGGGGGTCTCTTGTGGCCTCTTGGGCGTCTCTTGGGAGCCTCTTGGGGGCATCCTGGGGGCCTTTGGGGGCTTCCTGGCCACCTCTTGGGGCCCTCTTGGGACACCCTTGGGAGCCTTGGGGGCCATCTTTGAGCCATCTTGGGTGAGATCGATCACATGAGGGGGGGGTACGGGTTACAATCGCCTTCCCAGAAAGCCAAAATGGGGCCAAAATCAAAATAAAGCAATGATTTGGGTTTCCTCGCCGAGGCCGTTTTCGACGCCCTGACACCTCGCGAGACCCCTTGTCCAGGTCCATGGGGAGGGGGGGGGGGGGGGGAAACCCCTCCCCGAAGGAGAAGAAGGAGGGGTGGAAGAGGAAGCGCCTTAAACCACCGACGCCCAGAGGGCTGGTGGGATTTGGTGTGTGTGTGTGTGTGTGTGTGTGGGACGCCTGCGGGCGGTTCCACGAGGGGGTTCGGTGGTGCTCCCGATGGGGCCACGAAACGGTGTACTGGGTGGGTGCGGGGGACGCACGTGGAGGGTTCCACTGGGGGCTTCGATGGAGCTTTCTATCGGGCCACGAAACGTTGTATTGGGCCAGCGAAAATGCCAAATTGGGTGGGTGGGACGCACGCGGGCGGTCCCATTGGGGGCTGCGGTGGAGCTCCCTATGGGGCCACGAAACGTTGTATTGGGTGGGTGGAAATGGCAGATTGGGTGTGCGGGGCGCGTGCGGGCAGTCCCACTGCCAAGAAACGTTGTATTGGATGGGTGAAAGTGCCAGATTGGGTGTGTGGGACGCACGCGGGCGGTCCCATTGGGGGCTCCGGTGCAGCTCCCTATGGGGCCACGAAACGTTGTATTGGGTGGGTGGAAATGGCAGATTGGGTGTGCGGGGCGCGTGCGGGCAGTCCCACTGCCACGAAACGTCGTATTGGATGGGTGAAAGTGCCAGATTGGGTGTGTGGGACGCATGCGGGCGGCCCCACTGGGGTTTCGGTGAAAATGCCAATTA